ACTTTTATTTTAGCGACACTACACTTTGTTTTGTAGCATACCAATTTTCTGCACATGGCTAATTCGGAAAAGCCTTTCAAACTGATGTTATCTGTTGATTACTCGTCTTATGTTGTTACAATCTTGTTAATTTAATTACTAATTTGTTAACTTAAGATAAGCTATCATTATTTTTTCCCTTTTCATTTACCTGAAGAATCTAGCTTGAGCTATCGAAAACTGGTGTTTCTAAAACAAGAATCGTTAGTCAAACAAAATGCTGCAGGTTTTATCTATTTTCATTTATTACTTCTAGCATACTTTATGGTTCATTGTTTTGTTCCCCTACGGATCATCTGGTCATTAGATTTTACTCACATTTCTATACAAATCAACTTGAAGTTCCTTATTGCAATAATGTGGTAGTAGCATGTTTATCAATCAATCCAACCAAGTTCTGGATTATTATCCTGTAAATTTCAGGATGTTATTTGACAATTACACTAATGGGATTTTGTAACAGAAATATACACAGTTAAAGTTATAAGTACCCAGGGCATAAATTAACCAATTCGGTGTAGAGTGGGCACTTATTGCAATTTGTAGAGAAGCGGTAATTGAAGAGTCGCCACGTATTAAGCAGCAAATTCCTCTAGCGAAATATATCTACCTTTTATTTATATACAACTAGATAGATTTGCGTATTCAATGATTTATTAAAATGTCTTATACGACTATAAAAACCTGGTTGTTCTTAAGAGGTAGATGAGTTGTAATGACGTAGATATCCTCTTGCATTCTCATTCTTGTTGGTTATCAAGACATTAATTGTTCCAAAAGCACCCAAAGTACCCATCACTAATTGCAAAGCATAATAAAAATATGGGCTTTTAAGTCTTAATACTGTAAGGTGCTCATATAAAAGGGGCGCTGAGATGGGAAGTGTGGGTAATTCCTATTGTAGCTTATGGCATATTCTGTACAGTGGTTGGCAAAGCACTGTCAAGATAAAAAATTGATAAAGTATTTCTTCCACATTGCACAAGGTTTAATTTGACGTTTTCTGCTTTCTCCGTCTCCTTCCCCCTCACCCTTCCCCCCCCCCCAAAAAAAGTCTGATCTTTTATAAAAATCAAAATTAAAATGTACAGTATTGTTAAATTTGACCTCTTTGGATTAAAGCCAACTCCAACCAGAAAATGTTGTTCTGATACTCCCAATCAATATAAGAGGGTTCACTGAAGAATAGTTTAAAACAACAAACACCATCCGTTGATCATAATAATACAAAGCAACCTGTTGGTAACTGGTAATTTAAGAAAACATGAGGATGTATTGATCAGTCTTCAATAAGATAGCCTGGGTACTGATGTTAATAATACCATATTTTACAGAGTATAGCCCATGATGAGTATAAGCCCACCATTGTACAGTAGTTTACAATTTCATTTTAGATGCTACAGTAGCATTCATCCAAGTACTGTATACGTACTGTATAACACATGAAAGCAAACATGAGTATACTGCATAAAATAGGTCAAAATATAGTCTATTACTAGAAATTGCAAATTGCAAGTGAAGTGCTGCGAAGTACAACTGCATATAAATGTTCTTCAAACAAAATTATTTATGCGAGTCAAGTGAAAATAATGAATAATAAAAATATAACAAATAATATGAGACACGACCCATTGTCTATATTAGAACACTTCTCATTGGGTAACAAAGTCGTAATTTTTCATTTTGGTTTAGGTTTTTTTTAATAAAGTTTCAAAAATTTCTATGTATGTGGAAAATGTAGTTGATTACCAAAGGTTACAATTTTTATTTTGAAGACTGCATGGTCTAGGAAGTGTACATTTTTTTATGG